GTGGCAAGCCCCCGGGCTCCCCGGGCGGGCGCCTTGGGCACGTCCCCGGTTTTCTGACTGGAAAGGCGGCGCAAAACACCCGATTTTGCGCTTTGCGGCTTGTTCCGTGCCGCAGGTTTGCGTGGGGGTAGCTCCGAGCTACAGGGCGCTTGTGGGTCAGTGGCTGCAAGCTGGCAGGGGTGGGTAGTCCTGGTTTTTAGGCAGCAAACCTGTTGGCCAGGCTTAGCCCGGTGTAACCTGAACGGGAAAGCGTTTGCTTTCCTAACAGTCTTTCGTTCAAACAATAAACAAAACTGAAACTAATAGGTTTCTCCAAAAGACAGCCAGCAGAGCGAACCAGGGTGTGAACTTGCTCTAGGTAGCTGAACACCTGAAAGGAAGCACCACTCCTGGCTTTGGCCTCACACCTCTGAGAGCTCGGTTTCTGTCACGAAACAGGTGGCCTGTTATAAACGCTTCTTCAATATTTTGTTTGCAGAATGGAAGAGGAATTGGCAGCTCCTTCCACATCCACAGACAAGACGGACAGGTGAGATGGGAGTTGCAGTTGTCAGTTACTAAAGAATGCGAAATCCTAAGGGTTACTGAGTGAAACAAAAAGGGCACCCGTCAAGTGGGTTGTTAGGCTTGAAGTTTAAGAGATGCGGATGCTGTAGATGCTGAAAACTTGTGCTCACCAGTAGTCTGCACAAGTCTAGTGCAACAGAACTCTTTCAAGGACTGATAAATACACAGATACTGGCTGTTGCTTAGGAGGTTCTCGATTTGTGAGTTAGTGCTGGGGAAGCATTGGGGAGGTATGAGTATGTGACTAGCATGGAGTAGTACTCCTCTGTGGGCAGCTCCTCTTGTCCCAATCCAGGGTACTGGACTGGGATGAACCCTCTGAAATGGAGCTGTGTGAGATGTGCTGAATTGAAACTAAGGCTTGCATCTATCATTCTTTTCAAATGCATCATGCTGTACTATGAGAAGTCATAAATTGGATTTATTCTTCTTTTTCTTGGCTTAGCTGGCATCGGAGTCTGGTGAAACACTGTATGGTAGCCAGTGTTGTATTGGTACGCAACTCTTAAAGTATATTCTTTAGCATCCTTTGTCATATTAGATTCTGATACCCGCTTCTTGCAGTGGTTCGTTAAAATTAACCTGTCTGCCCTCGGTCATCGGAACTAAAAGTTGGTCCAGATTTAAACAAACAAAACCAAACAACCCCCTCTGCCCCGGTAATTCCGACCAGTGTAAGGTATGCAACTCGCTCTTATATAAAGCTGACTAGGTTTTGAAAGCTGGATACAAAATTGCTATGGAAACTAATAGAATCCTGTATTTGATTTATTTTTATTTTTTTCCCCCCTCTCCAGTATGGATGTGGATGGAGAATCAAAGAAACTATTGGGTTTAGGACAGAAACACTTGGTAATGGGAAATATTCCAGCTGCTGTTAATGCGTTCCAGGAAGCTGCGAGCTTACTGTGAGTAGTAGGAGGTTTTGTGTATTTTTGTAGGGCTTCGTTTTCAGCTTGACTGTACTGATGTGGCTTATAGAAGAAAGATCGAGATTTTTACCTTACATATGCTGCTGTATTTATAATACAACCAGGGAGAGGATGAACTATTGAAACTAACTCAAGTGTTGGACACTGCTGTAGTTGGTGTGCAGTTTAGCTTTTGTGATAGTAACTGCCAGCGCAGCTCCCTAAGGAGGAAAAGGGGTTTGGTATTTTATTTTGCAGTGTATGGTTCTGATGTCTGTTAATATGAAAATAATGAGGTAGTGTTACTTGCTAGTAACTTGTTTACTAGTCTTGATCAGTCTCTGAGGGTGAAGCCTCCTTGGGTTTTAGATTAGTTTGCTTTGCTGGATGTTTAAGAGCCACATCTAGCTAAGTGAGAGGAGCATTCATGATTTGTTTGAAACAATGGGAGGTGAGCTAAGAAACTGATTCTTCCTGACCAGGATTTTTTAGCTTTCAAGTTCATGTATCAAAACTTAAACTAGGCACAGGCAAATAATTCTTCATTACTTTTGTAGGGGTAAAAAATATGGTGAGACAGCGGATGAGTGTGCAGAAGCTTTTTTTTACTATGGAAAATCTCTCCTGGAGTTAGCAAGGTATGCTAACAGTTTCTTATTTCATTAAGAGTCTGCCTAGCATAACAGGATTTCACCCTCATATACGCCGGGTCACAGGGTTAGACTAGAACTTCATAAATGCAGGGTTGCACTGGGTGGGATGGGCCACGGCATTGCAGCTTGTGCAGTTAAAACAGTGTTATTACAAAAGCTAAGGGATAACAAACTTTTTTTTCTTTTAGAATGGAAAATGGTGTGCTGGGAAATGCCTTAGAAGGGGTGCAGGTTGAAGAGGAAGGAGAAAAAGCTGAAGATGATTCTGTGTTACCGACTGTTGATGGTATGTAAAGCTGTCTGCCATGTCATGGAGGCACCAAGCTGTGTTTTCTTGTCTAAACGATCCAAGTTCAGTCCATTGGTATCTTAGGTGGCCTGAGTTACTCTGTTGAAACTCAGCAGCCTGAATGGACTTTTTTTTTGTTCTTCTAATCTTGCTTAAAGATTGAACAAACCTCTAAAACTTCTGCAAGGAACTGGTCACTGAAAGCATGTGTAAAGGGTCACCAGGTGTCTGTGTCCTGAAACACTGCATTCAAACTTGCTTTCTTAAGCTTCACAGTCAACTTGAACTGCTTTGTAACCTTGTAGCAGTACACTGTGTGTAGTAGGACAGGTCAGTCTCTCTGTAAAAAGTCCAAGAACAGCATTTTATACTCCCTGCAGCTGGACATAATACAGGAATTCCTGTCAATCCAGACTATTAAAACACTGGCACCTCTTGCTTAGCTGTGACTAAAAATGCTAGCACGCAAAACTGCACACTGCTTGAGCGGCTGCTTGCAATAATGCAGTCTGGGGAAGGGGAAGGGATTTGCTTAGTTCAAGTTACTATGTTGGTTGTGTCCTAATTCCTTATACTTTGAAAATGGAGCTTTTAGGAATGTCATCTAACTTGATGACAAACCAACACACTGGAGGGTCTGAGGGTGGTATTGTCAGTGCCCATTAATGTCTTTATCACTAAACTCGAAGAAATGTTTATGCTTCCTCAATCATGTAGAAGAAGCAAGGGAGGAGTTGAGAGAACAGGTATATAACGCCATGGGGGAAAAAGAAGAAGCCAAAAGGTCTACAGAAGAGTCTCCAGTACTATCTGAGAAGGAAATCAAAGAGGAGGATGTTGAAATGAAAGAGATCACAGAAGAAAAACCAACAGAAGAAGCAAGTGCTGACAAGGATGTAAAACTTGAAGAGGCTGAAGAGAAGATGGAGGTTTCTGTGGAAAAAGAAGTAGCTTCAGAAGAGCAGAAGCAGCAGGTAGCTGTGGAAAAGGAGGCTATGAAAGAGGAGGCAGCTGTGGAAGAGAAGGTAGTGGAAAAAGAGCAAAAGATGGTCCCTGAAGACAAGGTAGCAGAGGCAGCTGAGGAGGAAGAGAGAACGACAGAAGTGTCGGACAAGGAGGTGAAGGCAGCTGTGGAAGAGGCTGAAGCTGGAGAATTGGCTGTGGAAGAGAAGGGAGAGGTGGGAGAGCAGACAGCTGAAGCAACAGAAAAAGAGCCAGCTGTGGAAAAGAGAGAGGCTGTAGAAGGGCAGGCAGAGGCAGCTGTGGAAGAGAAGGCAGTAGCACAAGTGACAGCAGAAGTGCAGGCAGCAATCACTGTGGAGCAGAAAGAAGCTACAGAAGGGGAAGTAGAGGCAGCTGAACAGAAGGTGGAGGAGAAACAAGAGCCAGTAGAGACAGCTACAGAAGAGAAACCAGATGAATCCAAAGAGACAGAGTCCTCAAAGGAACCTGTGCCCACAGAGGGCAAAGAGCCATCTAATGACATGGAAGAAAAGGCTGAAGTAGCTGCTAAGGTAGAGAAAGAGGAAAAGAAAGGTGACCTGATGGAAGAGGGTGAAGGTGCTAAGGTAGAAAAAGAAGAGAAAGATGGCCTGATGGAAAAGGGAGAAGGTAACAGTGAGAGGAGAAAAGTACTTGTGGGTGGATGACTTGATGGATTTGGCTAACAATGGGTAAAAAGTGTTCCATTCAGAATTTTCTGTTTGCCTTAGAATAAGGAAAAGGCACAGTAAAGGGGCTCTTGAAGGATTTTACATCCAAGTAAAGTTTCAAGGAGTAGTGAACAGTCTCGGTTTCTCTAACGCTTAACTAACTGCAAAGCAAATCTTACTTGAAAGCAAACTTACAGCCCTGTGAAATGTGTAAGTAATGGCTAGGCTGGTGGAGAATACTGAATGGATGTTCACTTGCATGCATCTGGGTTTATTGCACTAACCTTCAAATAACTTGAAGCACAAGTTGCCTCTGGTTATAACCGTATTTTATTTTAAAACAATGGAGCAGAAAAATAAGAACAGCTGAATACATAACAAAATAGTAAATCTGCTTTTGGTGGGGGGAAGGAACTCTCCATTTGAGTCTTTCTGGTGGTAATTACAAGTGAGAATTTGGTTGGCAAATCTAAACTTAATTTGCCCTGAAACCTGAAGGCTTATTGCTACTATCTAGTACAGTCTTCCAGCTACCTAGCTTTTTCTGCCATTCTGCTTCCCTGCTTCATTATAGCTGTTTTCAGGATTATGTGAAAGTAACTGTTGTGGTCAACATTCTTCTCATACTGAACCCAAAACATAGCAATATACCAGCTACTAGGAAGACAATTAACTATCCCAGCTGAAACCAGGACAGTAACCTAGTAAAACTTGTACACTTTGCTGAAGTATTACTTGTATGGTCTTAGTAGGCCAGCACTTTCTGTTGCACAAGTTAATTGATGAGCTGATAATTGAAACTTTGCTTGTCAGTAACTCAGCTTCACAGGAAGAGCCTTATTTTAGGAGTGGCAGATATGCAGACTAAATAGTTCTGGACACTGAAAGGATTTGTACTGCTGGGCACAGTGAACACTCAATGGTGGAGCAGCTGCCTAACAAGGTGTCTGTCTGGATAGAGTATAATGCACCTAGAGTAGTTATCCACTCCTCATCAGGCTGAGTAAAGGCTGTTTATGTACACATACTGCTGCTTTTTTTTTTTCCCCAACCCTGTTAGTGTGAGGACACTCTTGAACATCCTCGTCTGGTGCCATGTCATTCTAGACTCCTCCCACTATTTAAATTTTAACTTTCTAATATCTCTTCTGTTTTACCTTTGATCAAGCTGTCCTCATACTCACAGGTTTGGCCCTCTCAATGGTAGGTGTGTGCATTTTGGGAGTTAGATTAACGAGCTTATGGGTTCTCTAGTGTCCATTCCATCAAGGTCCTCATATTCTGGATATAGTCAGTAGTCATGATACAGGAATTAAGTGTGCAACTTTAGCATGCAAGTCAACCAATGCTCTAAAGTTATTAGCCATACTCCTTCACATTTTCCCAAAATGTTTTCTACTGGTAGAATAGATCATGCAGTGCTCCTACACAGTATCAGAAGTCAAATCAGTGCTACACAATAGCAGGTTCGTTAATAACATTGCCACTTAAATGTCTGACACGAGGAACACGAATTCAGAAACAGTCTTATTTGTACGCAGCTTGGCAGCCATCTTGCTGAAAACGCTTGTTATCTTGTTACCTGTAGTGTGAAGTCCAGCAACTGACCTGTACCTCCAGAGCTGCCCAGGATCCCGTGGCTTCAGTGGGAGTTCACAGTGCATTTGTGGGAACTGAATTCTATGCAAGTTTCTGTTCTAGATAGTATGAAGTGAAACTTAAAACGAGGACTGAGGGAGCTTGGAACCTCTTTTAGTCTACAGTGCCTAACACTTTCAGCAAGATGGCTGCTGCTGCTAGGAATTTAATATATCCTGTGCTCTTGCATCACACATCTAACCTGTCACTGGAAGGATAAGGGCTGGATGTAATATATTCTGCCATGCGAAGCAAGCGTACTAACAACAAGTGTTCTCATTCATCTACTTCCCTTGTAGAAACAGAAGAATCTGAAGAGGAAGATAAAGAAAATGATAAAGCTGAAGATGATAAGGAGAATGAGCTGACAGTGGAAGACAAGGTGAGATTGCTGACCTCTGATATTGGTGCTCATAGAAGAGTGCAGTATTTGTCTAAATGTCATGTTAATGTCTTTATAAAAGCTCACTTGTATTTCATTTGGTCCTATGTAGGAAATGACTTTTGAAAACCAATATTGCCTAAGGAAGGGGCAGCGTTATGTGTAGTCCACCTTGTAGGATCTTGCTCAGCTCTGTAAACTTGGGCTTGTTTAGCTATGCTGAAACAAATGCTTGCAATCTGCTGATAAGTAATGCAGCCTGGTAAATGCAGGGGCAGGCAGGGAGAGTTGCTTTAGGTTGTCACTAGAGTTAGTTACTTGTAACACTTCATTCTCTGCTTTTTTTGTTGTTGTCAGACTATGCCTGTTGAATGTACCTGGTCCTATAAGCCATGATTAGGATGGGAATTCAGTGGGAAGTGTAGCGCTGCTTAAATGTGAGGTGTTAATGTTGATGTAGCAGTCAAAACACCTGGAAAAATCTGGAGCCTGTTAGAGTGTGGTACTAAGCATGCTAGACAACTGTCTTGAAGAGAATATCTGTCACTTCCTCAGACTATTCTAAGGAAGTCCAAAAGCTCATTTGAAAAAAAAAAAAAAAGTGGAACATCAACTCCTTTATTTAGCTTTTGGTTCATATAAATAGCACCTTAAACAAAACCTTACTGTTGGGATAATATTGGTGCTTGACACTCTGTTATTTCTGGGAAAAAATTAAGGCCGTATCAACTAAGAATGTAAGCTTATGTTCCACTTAAAACATTTTCGCTGCAGGTAAAGTCTTGGTTGATGCAATAACCTGTTCTGCATATGTGTTTGTTTTGGGTTTTTTTTACTTCTAGTGGTAAACTGTTTGTCTTGAAGAAATGTGTTCCTTGACAACACTGCTTAGAAACTCAGTGGTGGTGTTTGATATGATATGTAACCAAGTCACTTAATCTTTAATGCATTTCTAGTCTTTACAGGAAAGTGAGGAGGATGAAATTGGAAATCTTGAGCTAGCCTGGGACATGCTGGAGTTAGCAAAAGTAATCTACAAGAGGTAAAGACTTAAGCCCTAATTTGGATATGTGCTAGAGAAACTCATTGTAAATTGGGGAGTGGCATAAGCAATTAATGAATGTGGCATATTCTGATCAGGATTTGAAAACTACTTTTTTTCTTGATTTAGACAAGAAACAAAAGAAGCTCAGCTCCATGCAGCTCAAGCTCATCTAAAGTTAGGAGAAGTTAGCATTGAATCTGGTAAGTAATATTAATTCTCACGTACAAAGTGTTCAGTTCCACTTTCTGTCACTCTCTATTTTGTACTTTAAAATGAGCAGAGGTGAGTTAAGGCTGTTAAGATGAAAACAAAATAGATTTTTTCTAATTATGATAGTTCAGCCATGTGAGAAGCTTTGGAATCAATGGATGAACAAGTTGGTGCCTTAAAGGCAAAAGCCATGTGTGCAAGCAAAGCAAACCAAGGAATTGATTCACCACTTCCCATTGGCAGGCAGGTGTTCAGCCATCTGCAGGAAAGCAGGGCTCCATCACACCTAAAGGTTACTTAGGAAGACAAAATGCCATAACTCTGAACATCCTGCCCTTCCTTCTTTTCCCCCAGCTTTATATGCTGAGCATGATGTCATTAGGGTATGGAATATCCCTTTGGTCAGTGGGGGTCAGCTGTCCTGGCTGTGTCCCCTCTCAACTTCTTGTGCACCCCCAGCCTACTTGCTGGTGGGGTGTTGTGAGAGGCAGAAAAGGCCTTGGCTCTGTCTAAGCACTGCTCAGCAATAACAAAAACATCTCTGCGTTATCAGCACTGTTTCCAGCACAAAGACAAAGCATAGCCCTGTACCGGATACTATGAAGAAAATTAACTCTATCCCAGCCAAAACCAGCACAACAGGATAGTCCATGCTTTTCCAGAACAGTGAAAGCAAGCTTTGAATAAGAAGTAACATGTTACCAGATCAAAACCAGCCTTGTGTTCTGCTGTATAGGCAAGGTTTGGTTAGCTTCAGAAGCTTGGGAGAGACTTTCCTTATCTAAGTTGTGAGTCACTGAGCTCAATAGGAGGTATCAGTACCATGCCACTTCCAGAACATAAAGACTGCAAGTGAAAAATGGTTGACTTGCTTAGACTTCCCAAAATCCTAGGGTATGGTCAGGAAAGACTCTTGTGTTATGCAGCAGAAAAAAGGGAGGGGGAAGCAAGCCCCAGGTTTGTGCCTTCTAATATGTTTTACCTGCCCTTCATTTAAAAATGTGTTTTAATCTTGTTAAATCCAAAGAGAGTGTAATTTTTCTCTATGGTGAGCATTGGAAATAATCTGATGGGTTTCTGGACCAGGGCTACAAAATGAGGGTTGTGTTTTGTGTCACTAGAATATATTCAATGGAGAGCTTGACTGGAAGCTAGCAGGGGAGTGTCCTTAGCTCTAGATGCAAGTTGCAGTTGTGACCAGTTAGGTTTGGGTCATGGTAGCAGGTAAAATAGCAGGATTTGTGTGCCTGGTTTTGACTTGGCTGCTTAGTTTGCTGTGTTGCTGTAAATAGACAAAGCACTCTTGAAAACACTAGAGGAACTGGACTCTAAGCAGCCTTTTGTCACTTGATAATCTGAAAGCAGCCTGTCACTGAACTCAACTGCTGTATTCGATGGTGGTTCCATTCTCAGACTATATAAAGTGTAATAAAATACGGAGTAACTGAATAAGGGCTTAGATCTTGCTTGTTTGGGTAAATGAGTGTGGTTTGTAAAGATCTTATGTCTTTCTCCTATAGAAAACTACACGCAGGCTATAGAAGAGTTTCAGGCCTGCCTGGCCCTGCAGCAGAAGTACCTGGAGGCTCACGACCGCCTGCTAGCAGAGAGTCACTACCAGCTGGCGCTGGCGTACCACTACAACAGCCAGTTTGATGAGGCGGTTTTGCAGTTTGGTAAATCCGTAGAAGTCATTGACAAGAGGATGGGTAAGTGGATTTCTAAAAGTGCCTAGTGAATATGAGAGCTTTCACTAGTCAAAGCAGACTTTAAGTGCCCTAAATGTAGTTAGGTATGCTTATTACCTTGCTGTGCAAATGTCTGTTGGTCTGAAAGGGGTAACAGGCTATACTGATACCAGAAAATTGTTGAAACAATGTGTTAGCAGATACTTGCCTCTGGATATTGATAATGAGACAGCTACTTTTGTCTTGAGGTTTTTTGCCATGATAACTGTTTCATCCTAGCAATGCTTACTGAGCGAATAAAGAAGGCAGAAAGTGGATCCCCTGAAGATGAGAAGGAGATTGAAGAACTGAAGGGACTGCTTCCTGAAATTAAAGAAAAGATAGAAGATTCAAAGGAGTCTCAAAAGAGTGCAAGAGTAGCTGAGCTGGCACTGAAAGCAACTCTGGTTAGTGCATCCTGTGGTTTCCTTTTAGCCAAACATTCTTCCAGTGAAACTTGAAGTAAACCAGTAATGGGAGGAGCTCAGGCTTGATCATACAGATTGGAAGCTGGTGGTTGCTCACAAATGTTATGCGCTGTGATTGTGAGAAGGAAACTGAGGCAGCTGACATCTGAAGAGAGCTTATTAGTAAATACACTGATGTTAATTGCTCCAAACTAAACTGGAATTTGATAGGCTTCTAGAGCAACTTAATGTATCAGGACTGGAAATTATAGGTCAGCCAAATGTGAGAATGGACTGAGTTACATCCATCCTGTGTGTAAGTGTGGAATGCAGTGTTGAGACATGAAGGGGTTGGGTTCTCCTGTCCCTTTCTAAACTAGCATATATGGTCTCACCAGAATTTGTTGACTGTTTCTTCTGGTTTTCTTAAGGTTGGAACTACATCTGGCTTTGCACAAAGTGAAGACAGTGGTTCTGTTTCCACAGTAAGTTAAGATGGATGTTGGTAGTCCCTGTTTGCTCTAAGGATTACTGTTTGCTGTTACTCATCTGTCAATGTCTGTCTTGTAATAGATTCCAGTAAGAAAAGCAGCTGATGGTGCACCTCAGTGTGTTACAGACATCTCTCACCTAGTCAGGAAAAAGGTGAGTCCAGAAATGACTAGTTGAACAAACAGTTTGTTAAAGTACCACTGGCTTGCTCTGTGTAATTGGATTTCTTGACTTGAAGCTTTTTTTCCTTAACTTGGTTCTATAATGGAAAAAACACCCTAAAAGTAAAACCAGAAATAGTGCATGAAACTCCTTTCCACTGGGAGCCAATCAGTCTGGGAACCATCCAGCCTCCAGGAGACTATTTGTGACGGTTCAGCACCCCGCCTGACCCACACTGGTTTAACTTCAGAGCTGAATTGTGTGGCTTTTGCAGGCGTTCTCTGAACAAGTGCCCTCCTCTGCTGGGGACCTGCAAGAAGAGCAGGCTGGCCTACAGATCTTAAGAAAAGGGCAAGCAACCAGGCTGAGTTGGGTTCCCTTCTTTGCAAGTGGAAATGGAGAATTGAACTTAATAAATAGCAAAGCCAGTCTAATGGTAGTAAGGATAAACTGCCTCTTAAAGAGATAATGCATTGAGGACTAGGTTCCTTTAAAGGTATATGCTTTTTCTAGAACTGTTTGCTAATATAACTAAAATTATCCCCTATAGGATCTTAGTTTTTATTTTGTATGCTGCTGTGGCACAGCCTGGCCTGTGTGTTTTATTAGCCTCTTTCAGTTCAGGTTTGCTTGGAGCAACTTTGATCTGCTTTACACAGGTGATTGTAAGTGTCATAGATGCCCTAAATCTACCCCCTTAACTGTTCCCTGGCTCAGCAGTTGCATGTTTCCTTGCCAAACAATAACTAAGGATAATTCAGCACTATAGATACTAGCACCTAAATAATGTCTTACGGGAAATCCTTTGTGGTTGAGACCTCTGTACCAAAGCTTCAGAGCTTTGGTTAAGTCTTAACACTCAAGTATTTATCTTGAACCTGGCAAGTAGAGGTTGAATAGATAACGTGCAATAACATCTAGATGCTAACTTTCTAAAAAATATTTAAACTTTAATTTGTACATAGTGAAGACTATAAACAATTTTGTCTTCAGAGGAAACCAGAGGAGGAGACTCAACAGGGAGACAATGAAGCTAAGAAATCTAAACCAGAACCGGCTGTCAATGGTGGTGGTGGTGATGCTGCCCCCAGTGGAAATGAGGTTGCAGAAAAAATGGAAGAGGAGGTGGGCAGCTGAGTCAGGAGTCTGTGCCATTATTATCAATATCATTATTATCATCTTTTTCTCCACTTCTGTTCAGGCATGGTTTTGTGCCTGATAGATGTACTGGTTTTATTGCCTGCTGGTCTTCACAAGGCTTCCCAGACGAGATGGGGAATGTTCCCCAGTTGGCAGGATGCATGTTGTACCATGGTGTCTGACACGCTGTGGGCTGGAAAGACACCAGCTGTGGAGACTTGCAACCTGTGGGGTGGGACAGAAACATGTTCTGGGTGTTTGAGTTGGGCTGAACTACAGTGTGGGGCCTTTCCCCGAAGTATTTTTTTTTAGTACTCCTGGGTTTTAATACTTATCACCTGGGCTACAGTTGTTAACATCAATATTTTAGAATAGTGTTGAGCTCTGAAGACCAGCAAAGCATGTGTATTCAGTTCAGTCTTCAAATGACAGAAACCTTGAGCTGCTGCATGAATTGGTGCTGTAAGGCAGTGTCTTGTTTTTTAAAAACAAACCCTTTTCTTTTCTTTTAGACAGAGAAAAGGCCACAAGCAGAATCAGGGGCTGCAGTTGAAAGCACAGTATGATAATTCTTTAACCTTGGACACTCCTCTCCTTACAAGGAAAATGGTTTTGTATATAGTGTATTTTTTCACTTTTTGGCAACTTTTGTATGACTTCAATAAAGATTGTAAGCAAATAGTCCTTGTCTTGACCCTCCTCAGCAGGGGCTGGGGCTCGAGGCCTCTGGTCACAGCTGTTGGCTGTGTTTGGTTAGTTCTAGGCTGAGCCTGGTGCAGGTGGCAGTGGCACCTCCCTTAGCCTGCAGCAGCCTAAGCGCCCTGGGGAAGGCTGATAAGAGCTTGTCTGACCCCTGCACCCCTTGTAGCAGCCACAGCACTGGGGTGCATCATTGGCTCTGCTCCACCTCTACCCCTTCATATCCCTGCGGAGCTTGTGGGGAGGCAGGGTGTGATGGCTCTGCGTGCTGATTCCAGCCAGAGTCCCTGTGGGTGCTGGGGTGAGTCACTGCATCCCCTGGCAGCGCAGGGGTCCCTGTAAGGAGGTGGAGATTTGGGTACAAGAGGGAACAGGGCACTGCAACCACTTGGGCTGTGCAGCCACTGCAGGCCTCTGGGTGATCCCAGTCTCAGTTCTTCTATCACTCCTGCACCTTGGTTCAAAGGGGGGGCGGGGGCATCTTCCCACCACCCTGAGTACCTCTTGGTGCTTCCCTTGTCCTGAAATCACCCCCAGGGAAAGGGTGCACTGCCAGCGCTGCCCACAGGGAAGCAGGCTGGGACAAGTGTGTGTGTGTATAAACAGGCCAAGAAGCAAAGAGCAGCAGGCTGAAGCCATTTATTAAAACACCCAGTGTGGCCTCCAGTGTGGGGGAGGAAATCTCGCCATTGGTTTTGCTGCTTCCCAGGTCTGAGCTGTGAATGCCTCCTGTCAGGCTTCCCCTAGAAAGGGCTTGCGGTGGGGATGTGCCCTGTGGAGAGAGGTGCAGGGAAAGGGGAAAGAAAATAAAGTGATTGTGCCTCTCTGTGCCCCCCCCCGCTGGTCCCCAAGCTGCCCCAGGGAACAGGATGAAGCAGCTCCTCTGTGTGTGGACACCGTCCTGGGGCGAGGAGCAGCTCTGTGGCTATGGGCTTTGGGCTCTGCCTGTGCCCTCCCTGCCTGCTCTTGCTGCTGCCGAAATGCCCAGAGCTCTTCTGGTCCCAGGAGAGACCCCACATGTTTCCCCCCTGCCCCAGCAATAATTACACAGCTGGTCCCAAGCCCCCATACCTGCAGCTGTAGCATACATTTTGCCATCCCTTCACCACACTTAATAAAGCCCCGATTTCCTGCTCCGGCTCTGTTCGGGGATGCCGGGGTAGTGCCATGGGGACACGGCCCGTTCCTGGCTCACCTTAGGGGAGGTTTGTTCTGTGCTGGGGGCTCCCGGGCAGGAGGGGGGTCCTCCAGGGCCATGAAGGGGGTGAGGGGGAGGCTGGAGGGGACATGGGGTTGGCCGGGGACTGTGAGGCTGCCTGTCCCCAGCGCTGGCCCAGGGGACTCCTGGGAAAGGAGAAAAGTGGGGTTAAGCACAAGTGGGTCCCAGTCCCATTCTGCAACAGGCACCCACTGGACCGGCCCAGCCACCCTGTGCCACACATGGCATTGGGCGTGCAGAGCAAATCACACCCGTGGTTTGCGCCTGGGGTGAGGACCTCCTTCTGGTGGCCCTGGCTCCGTGGGACACCCGTGTCCCCAGCTGTGGCCAAGGGAGCAGTTCCTGAATCATCTCCCCAAGCCCGTACCTCCACGCTCATTGTCCTGTCTGGGGCAGCAGCCTGACCCCATCGCCCCTTGGCCCTGGAGACCTGGAAATAGCCCTGGGACGAGGGTCTTACCGTGAAAAGCTCTGGTGCAGCCAGGGCTGGTGGGAGTGGGGGGGCCACGGGGGGTGGGAGGATGGCGGGGGGCAGCCGTGGCCCTGTTTGCTCCATGTGGCATCGCAGCATCCCCACCTCTGCCTGGAGCTGGGCCAGCTCCTCCGTGTGCCGTTGGGTCACCTGCGAGCCTGGGGGG